TGTACTGTGATGTTTTTTTGGTGTTTTTATTCCTTACTATACTATGTGAGTTGATTCCTTACCATATTATGACAGTTTTATGAATTTTTATGCCTTAAAATACAACAATATTATTTGACGTTTAACGCCATACTATGACGTTTTTATGACATTTTAGGCCTTACTACACTAATACGTTTTTATGACATTTTACCCCTTTACTACAGTATGACATTTTTATGACATTTTAGGCCTTACTATGCTATAACGTTTTTATGACATTTTACGCCTTATTATAGTATGATGTTTTTATGACATTTTACGCCTTACTATAGCATGACGTTTTATACATTACTATACTATGACGTTTTTATGACATTTTACGCCTTACTATAGTATGACGTTTTATAGCTTCTATGACGTTTTGATGACATTTTATGCCTTACAATTGTATGACGTTTTGATGACATTTTAGGCCTTACTCTACTATGACGTCTTTATGACATTTTATGCCTTACAATAATATGACGTTTTTAGACATTACTATACTATGACGTTTTATGCCTTACTACACTGACATTATATTTTATGCCTTACTATAAAATTTTGTCTTATGCCTTACTATACAGTGACGTTTTTACAACATTTTATGTCTTACTATAACATGACATTTTATACCCTACTATACTATGATGTTTAATGCTTCACTATTTGATGACATTTTTATATTTTACTATACTATTGTGTTGTAATGACTTTTTTTGCCTTAAAATACTATGACATTTTTAGATTGCGCTATACTTACATACATTTTTAATGCCTTAATATGCAATTACATTTTTATGTTTTTCATGCCTTGCTATACTACGAAATTTTTTAGCCTTAATTTATCATGTTCTTTTATTATGTTTTTCATGCCTTAATATACTATGACATTTTTAAGCCTTACAATACTATGACATTTTCATTCTTTAGTATAATAAGCATTTTTTCATGCCTTATACCATAACGTTTTTGTTCCTTACTATATTATGACATTTTTATGTCATTTATACACCTTACTACACTATAGCAAGTTTTTATGAGATTTTTGTACCATTTCTTTTGTACATACTATAGTATGATGTTTTTTGTCCCTTAATATACTATATTTTTATGCCTAATTATACATAATGTTTTCATGTCAGATTTTTGATGCCTCACTATACTATGACTTTTTTATGGCTTTTTTGTATGCATTCCTATCATATGACGTTTTTATGCCCGACTATACTATATACCAGTTGTTTTGTTTGGAGACAGAAATAAAAACCTTGACACAGAAATCCAGTAGCCTCTACTCAGAGACACGGGTAGAGGGATCAGAGATCATATTTAGTCACTTGAGTGGGCTGGCCCTTTAAAACAATACTTTTCTTTTTTTAAGTAGCATTAAGTTTTGAATGTGACCATCATTAACACACTTATATAATAAATCTATAACAGCTGCCTTACACTGACTCCAGGTGTAGTCTGTAGTTTACCTGTGACCTGCTCTCCAGGTTTGTAGCTGCTGTGCTCTGCAGTGACGATGAAAGGCGCTGGTAACGTCTGTGGGCTCAGCCCAGAGTGGTGGGGTCTCATGTCCTCACAGCTGTCCACAACCTGACCCAAACTGTAGCACCGAGCTAGCGGAGCAACACACAACAGCAGCAATGCAACATTGTCCATCACACAGACGTGATCCAGTTCTACTGTTCTCATGAACACATACCAGGAGACAATGACTCTATTCAGCGGAGGGGAGCTCAGGTGAGTCTGAGGTCTGTGGGGAGACAATGACAGAGAGGAGGGAGGGAGGAGGGAGGAACACAACGAGGGATGGAGGGAGGGAGGAGGTAACAGAGGAAGCAACTAACGACTGCAACTATATCATTATGTTGCAGTGACTTAACGACTGTCACAAACCCCAGGGCCCAGGTGTGCCAGGTTTGCTGATGAGCCCAGGTACTGACAACCCTTGGTCACACCCACACACAGGAAGCAACAGGTACACAGGTGGAGAGGGTTGTCGCCTCCCCTCCCTTCAGCAGGTCAGTGAGTGGCGCCACCACGGTTGAAAAATTCCGACAAAAACAACAATACCCCACCATCCCAAGAAATCTCGTGAGCTGCTTTTTATTGGTAGGCTGCAAAAACTGCTCAACTGCCAACACCTTGGCATGCACACGAGCCACCTGCCCCTGTCCAACCACCCGACCCAAGTAAGTCACTGTTGCCCGAGCAAACTTGCAAGATTTACTGTGAGCTTCGCCTCTACCAATCGGTCAAACAATGCTCTAACCCTCTGCATGTGCAAAAACCAAGAATCACTGTAGACTACTAAATCATCTAAATAAACCGTGCAGCCAGCCAGCCCAGCCACCACATGATTCATCAGGCGCTGGAAAGTGGCCAGTGCATTTCTTAATCCAAATGGCATCACTTTATAGGAGTACAGCCCAGATGGAGTGATAAAGGCAGCCACTTCCTGTGCTCTTTGGGATAAAGGCACCTGCCAGTAACCTTTCAGCAGATCAAATTTGCTGATATATTTTGCAGCACCAACCTGGTCTACACAATCCTCCATGCGAGGTAACAGAAAGGAGTCTGGTTTTGTCACCTTGTTGACCTTTCGAAAATCAGCATCGAACTCTACCTCAGCATCTAAATGCATGCACTTCTCTGGAGAAACTAAAAATGCTGACGGATAGGCTGTGCTTCAACCAACAATCTATGTCATGCTCACCCAATCTGTGCAGGAAGGCACATTCACCAACAACCCTGGATACTTCAAAATAAGCTCCTCAATTTCTACAGCGTGTGCTTCTGGCAAATGGCTAAACAAGCCTTTCAAGTTCATGAAGGTCTGAATTTTTCAGCCGACCAGACAACCCTTCATGAGGCTCCAGAACAGCTTTGTCCATTCCCTCACCTTCAACCACTCCTGCTGAACCAACCACCAAAACAGGACACACCCCTGATCCTTGCTGGACAGCATCAGAAGCACTAGAAGTGTGAGCATAGTAGGGTTTTAGCAGATTAACATGGAATAGTCTTACAGGCTTCCTACAACCAGGAGTTGAAATCAAATAATTCTGGTCTGAGATGCATTTAACCACCATATAAAGATCAGAAAACTTTGCTTGGAAGGGTGAACTCACCAAACCAATGGACAAAGAGCCAAAACTTGATCACCAGTACTAAACTCACGCAACTCAGACCGGCGATCATACTGCTTTTTCCAGTATGATCAGCAGGAACAGAAAAAGACAACAGAACTAACAACCAGTGTTGCCCAGACAATGATAGTGTCGCCCCAAAATAATGTGGAAGTCCCCCTCTACCTAGCCTGCCTATCCAAAACTAGTCTATCTCACTGACCCCTAGTCTTCATGCAGTTTAGCGGTGGGAGATTTAAACACTCAAACCAGTAGCCCGGTTAGGCTCCACATTGATATGTCTATCAAGGGAAACTCCACAAACAAATCATCCCACTAGCGGCCCACACAATCACTGGTGATAGTTCCCACCTGCATGCCTGGATTGAACTCCCCAGACTGAAACAGCAACTAACAACCAACTCAACTTCCTACCCAAAATGCATCTCCCAAACACAAGTTGTGCCAAATGTACCCATCACTAGACATCCAGCCACAAACAGATCAAATTTGGCTGCACGAGCCCCCACTTGTCACAAACCGGGCTGCTCGGCCATGATAAAAAGAGGGAGATGCACACAAAGAAGCCAATTAACAACTGTTTTATTTAAAAAAACAACCTAAACTAACAATGGCATGTGTAATCTGTAGGACCAGCAGTGTAAGTGAGTGCATGAGTAAAGAAGTGTGTAACTGCAATGTTGTATGGTGGAGCAAACAACACAAACCAAATGCCAACCAAACCAAACAGGTGCCTCCAGGAGGAGAGAGAGAAAGAACTGAGCTCCATCAGGGTTTTAAAAGCACTAGCACACAGGGCCCAGGTGTGCCAGGTTTGCTGATGAGCCCAGGTGCTGACAAACCTTGGTCACACCCACCTCTAATACCTGTAAAAGGAAGCAGCCGCACACAGGAAGCAACAGGTACACAGGTGGAGTGAGCAGGGGAGGGGATCAGTGAAATCAGTAAATGATGTCCACACCATGAAACAGCAGAATTTAATGAAGACTTAGAAACGCAGGAGAGATTTTCTGATAAAAGTTTCTTAACAGGAGACAGGATTAACTCTGCTCTCTCTTCTGTCTCTCAGGTGATGCTGTGTCCTGGAGGAGTGGAGGCTTCAGCTTCCTCCTCTGCACAAATCTGAAGATGTTTGTGGTCAGTTCTGTTCACTGGGGGTCACTGCTGCTCATGTGTTTGGTGAAGTTAACCCCTCGCTGTCCATATGTTTTGTTATGTAAAATAATAAATCACAATATTAAACACTTCTACAGATGTATTGATGCCACAGACAGACACACACAGACAGACACAGACCAATACAGTCACAGACAGACACACAGATACAAACAGACACAGACAGACAGACACAGACAGACAGACAGATACAGGCACAGACAGACAGACACACACACACACACACAGATACAGACAGACAGACAGCTGCACATCAGTCCAGCTCATTCCACTTGTGTTATATGGAAAATAAACCACAGCTGTGATGTCAGGTAAACAATAAACATGTTAACACAAAGACACATGCATCATCAGTCAGAATCAGTGCTGTTTGCTCTGACTGATAATTACTTCAATTCTCATATATTTATATTCTTATAGTCGTAACAGTTCAGATACCCCCCACCCCCCTCAGGGAAACAGATACACAGAAGGAAATAACACATCTCATGATCTATTGATTGTGAGCTTTTTATTATGCTTTGTGTGTGTGTGTGTGTGTGTGTGTGTGTGTGTGTGTGTGTGTGTGTGTGTGTGTGTGTGTGTGTGTCTGTGTGTGCGCAGCAGGTCAGCGTCATTGTTGATGTTGTTTGCAGCAGTCAAAGGTCAAAGGTCATACAGGACCTCCAGCATGGTTCCAATGGACGAGGCTTGGCTCTCACAGCTGAAAGGACAGTGCCGACCACTCTCATTGGTCAGTCCAGGGAGACCCTTCCATGGAGACCTGAGAGTCACAGATGACATTGACTTCATCATCATCATCATCATCATATTCATCATCATCACAGACACAGGTGACAGCAAGTTAAAGCAGCTAACAGTCTCAGTAGCAGCAGTTAGGTGTTAAGGTGACTCCTTACCTCTCCAGGTGAACAGCGTGACGAGATAGGACGTGTTTCACCATGGTAACAGTTTTCTCGAACGTCTCCTTCCCCATTTTCTTGGCAAAGTAAAGTTTGGCGCGCAGGAAGTAGCTGACAGGCCACAGCCACTCCTGAAAGAAAGGGAACAGGTATGAGAGGCTGAGGACCAGGGGTCAGGGGTCAGGGGTAGATACTGCAGGTCTGCTTACTGGACCCTGATGGTAGCTGAAGCCCTTCGCCTGGTTGAAGTTGTCACTATCCAAGTTGTTGTCGTATACTCCACAGTACACCATGTCACTGAAAGGAACCAGGGAGAGAGAGAACAAGTTTAAAACAGGCCCAATTCCAATCCGGTCCCTACACCCTCCCACTCAGAGACGGAGTGGAGTCACACTCATGGCTGTGGAGGGTCTCTTTATCAAGGGGGAGGGTATAACTGCGTAAGGAAGCTGTGGGATGCCCTCACCGTCCTCTGATGGAAACAGGAAAATCATTGTCAATCTAAATATTTCAGAAAAGTATTGTGATTGAATCAATATTTATCTAAAAGGTGATCTTACACACAACATGAACAAAGATAAAGGTGTGTGGTCAGTAATGTGGCCCTCATCACATTCATGACATAATTAGCTTGTGAAAAGAAAATTATAAATTGAATAAATAAAAATTCACTCCCATGCTTCTTTGGCCTCATTTAGTTTTTGCTGAACATGTTTTCGTTTGCCGTCTTAATCTAATTATAACCTTATTTTCTCAACAGTAAAAAAAATGCTTCCCATTTCTTCAGGTACAGATCGTCATGTAACAATGTAACTTCTAATTTCCATCGTTACTTTGGAACAAACCTTAATGTGGCAGACCCTTCACACGGACGCACAAACAGAAAAAGAGTGGGTGGGGGGAGGGGGGGAGTGTAGGAGCCAGATTGGAATTAGGCCATAGAGAAGACAACACAGCTTGTTCTTTGACAGAGGTCTCACTCTTCTGAGTCCTCTGAAGACGAAGCATCATTCCTAACCCTTAACTCACAGGCGATACCACACCACCATACTCAGCACATCTGACACAGAGTCAGAGTCTACAGGTAACAGAGTCAGAGTCTACAGGTCACACAGAGTCAGAGTCTACAGGTCACATAGAGCCTACAGGTGGGTGCTTGGGTGGGGGTGGGGTTGTATGAATAGCAGGTGAGAGGCAACAAAAGACAGAGAAGCAGAGTTCAGCACAGGGTGCAGCAGTGTGTTTGTGTATCACAACACCTGGGTCTCCGTCTTGTTGCCATGGAGACTTGTTATCAGGAGGGGATGGGGAGGGGCTTGTAACTGGATACAGTTATAGTACAGGACAATGGCAAAACATGGTTTCATAGAGTTTATCTTCTCCCCTATATATTATCATTAACACATTATAACAGCCCCCCCCCCCTTTTAAAAATGTAACGCAGTACTTTTACTTCTACTTGAGTAAAATGTCTTTAAGTAACAGTACTTTTATTTAAGTACAGTGCTAACCTACCTCTGGGTAGCTACTGGACATCTGGGGGGCAACTGGTCAGCTCTAATCACCCCTACAGAGCCACGTTTATAGAAATAATACACCAGCTTTAAATGAACCAAACCTTCAGTTATTCATTATTCATTCATTCATGGTGATCACATCACCCTCTGAACCGTCCGGAAGCTCAGCACAAAAGCAGGAAACTCACTCAGGGTCCAGGGTCTTCATCCCCAGGGGCCCCAGCAGCTTCTTCTCAGCTACAGCCAGGGCCCCCCAGGCTCTGTCCACAGTGAACAGCTCAGGAGCCTACAGGACACGCACACACACATACACACACACACACACACACACACACACACAGACACACACACACACACACACACACAGAAAAAGAGATCAACAGTGTAATACAGGAAGTGTTGATGATGTGGAACTATTCAGTTTATTTCAGAGAACAGACACGTTTCTTCTTCACGACAGTCAGCTGGAATATTAAAATAGAGAGGAGAGACCAGGTACCTGCTAAAAGATTCATTCGTCTCTGAACGTACTGAACCCGGGTCTTTTAATAATCTAGAAAAGGATCCAGAGTGGACATGGCCTGTGGAACCCAGTTCTTGGCTTAAAGTTCCTCTCAGGCCCAGCAGTTGTCACTACTTACCACCACCATGGCAATGGGGAAGTTGGGCCGCAGCTGTAAGTCACACCAGGGGCTGGAGGCTCCAACACTGTCCTTGTAGATCCCTCTCTTGTGGACCAGGTCTGGATGTTTCTCCTCAGCGTCCTGGGGATCATGAGAAATGTAGAACTTCTTCTCAAAGTTTTCCTGGATCTTACAGTCCCAGTCCACGTATGACACAGAGAGCGTCTGTCCTAAGATGAAGATGATGGTTTATAATGATGAGAGAGACTTTAAATATGGTCATCTGTAAAACTAAAGGAGCAGATGTCAGTTACTTTTTATAACATGATGGAGTCTAGTTTCATTGTATAGACAGTGACTCCATTAGTTTATTATGCCACCAAAAACACCTGATGACTCACATTTAATAAATAGACTACACCTGAGACACGTGAGTGTGGACTATAGATTCAGGCATCAGAGGCAAAGGAAACTCTAAATCAGACATCTGTAGTTTAACACGTGTTAATGATGTTAGCAGCTGACCAGGTTCAAACCAGGTTCAGACCAGATTCAGACCAGATTCGGACCAGGTTCAGACCAGGTAAAAACCAGGTTCAGACCAGGTAAAAACCAGGTTCAGAATAGGTAAAAACCAGATTCAGACCAGATTCATACCAGGTTCAGACCAGGTAAAAACCAGGTTCAAACCAGGTTCAGACCAGGTAAAAACCAGGTTCAGACCAGGTTAAAACCTGATTCAGACCAGGACATACAGAATCCATGAAGGGAACTCTGCTCCACCTGAACACCTGCTCTGACAGTTGTTAGTCGAATTCCTGTTGACAGCAGGTGTGGGACAGTTACAGGTGAAACATCAACCCTCACATTGACCCTCATATCTTCACACAACTGAACTCATCTTTCTCTGTTCGACCCAGAGCTTTTTATCTCATCTTTGGGGTTGTTGAGCTGATCGGTGTATCGATACCCTGAACCATGTGCACCATAGCAACCTACAACACAAGTCTTTGTTGTTTCCATGGTGACCACTGACTGTATTTGATTGTCACTGAAACACCAGGTGATCCTGACTGTGTTCGTCATGAAAACCATAAAAAAAATCATAAGAATCAGTGATCTCCATTCTTTACTTCACACCGTCTGAGTTTAGTTGAACATCACGTGTTCCTGTCACAGCCTGCTATGCCTCTGTCTCACTCTCCACTCTGCCACACCTCCTGATCAGCCTCACTGTCCTCACCTGTTGCCCCCACCTGCACTCAATCTCCAATCAGGCCAGTATATATACATCCCCGGTTCACTCGCTCTTTGCCAGATTGTTCTCAGTGTCATGCTAGACTTTCCAGCGTTTATCTCTGGATTGACTTCCTGTTTTTGACTCTGCTCGTCCCTGACCATCCTGCCTCGTCTCTGCCCCGGTTAAACACCTCAGCCTTCTGTCCCCGACCACGAGTTCTGCCGGTGCGCTTCCTGTGTCCCCGTCTGCCCATCCCTGTGGCTGTTTGGCATTCTCCAGCTCCCTCGATGACATCTCCAGCCTGCTCCCTAACGCTCGTCACCGCCAGCCCCAGCCTTCAGGTCCACGAACTTTCCCCTTTGTGTGTGTGTGTGTGTGTGTGTGTGTCTGTGTGTGTGTGTGTGTGTGTGTGTGTCTGTGTGTGTGTGTGTGTGTGTGTGTGTCTGTGTGTGTGTGTGTGTGTGTGTGTGTGAGCTCAGTCACCTCGCTCCACTCACCGGACCCCCGGCTCTCCAGCCCCGGACCCCTTCCTTCCTCGATTACTAATCCCCACCTGTGTGTGTTCTCTCTGCTGGTTTATCAATAAAGGTCATTGCCAACTATCCATCTGTTTGGTTGTGCTGCAATTGGGTCCTATCACACCCCGTTACAGTTCCTACATATAGATTGTGTGTGTGTGTACGAGCGTGCCTACCTGCTCTACAGATGTTGACTGATGTGTAGGGGAAGTGTCCGCTGGTGTGGAGCTGCACCAGCCACCGAACAGCAGACTTACACAGACCCACAATCTCCACAGCAGAGCCATCCCTAGATCACACACACACACACAGTTACATGTTAGATGTTCTGAAATATAAATCACGTTGCAGATGAAAGAGATCGACAGAGTCCTTCAGTCAGACACAGCTGTGACACTAAGGTCAAGGTTCAAACTGAGTGAAATGAGCTGAAGTATCTGAGCGGCAGACATGATCAGAGCTGAGGAAAGGAGCTTCACTGCTTCCTATCCTTTCTCCTTTAGAATAGGAAACACTGGAGCTTCCTTTATTTCCACCTCATATGAAGAAAGCAAAAAGAAGAGGTGACCCCCCCCCCCGGTTTGTTCAATGGTCACATCTTACACAGGTATTAGAAACACGAGACCATCAGTGGGAGCAGGGTCTTTTTCACTCTTTCAGGTCACACTGGTTTCTTGGTTTACAGGTGTTTACAGGTAACTTGATCATGTGGATGTTGGACAAACAGGTTTGTTCTGACAATCACAGACAACAAGAGCGTTTATCAGGAACAAATCAGTGTAATCAGAGCCTGAGACAGCCTGCTCCTGTTACACTGAAGAATACAATAATAATAATAATAACTAGAAAATTCCAGGGAAATTTTGAGTGCCACGGGGGCTACTGCCGGGATGAGTACATGATTTATTTCCAGTGTTCAAAAGTCACCCTGATCATATTCTGGTTTTGAGAAATGTCTTGATATAAAAGACTCTGATATAAAACAATGTCACATCCCTCCATCATGTATTATGTGGGAAATATCTCATATTCTGTGTTGTTTTTTTTAATAAAACAAGAGGCAACATGTCTTCAAACTGGCATTTAAAGGGTTAAAATCCTGAAAACTAATAAACATTTGGTAGGTTTGAGCAGAACTGAAGTGGTTTAAGAGATGTATGCAAAAAAAAGCAGAAAAAAATATTGATATATGATGATTTTATAGCATTTTCTTTGTGTGTCCTTTTTTGGACGCGAGGAACCCCAGAGGGTACAAAATGTGTTACCAGTGTATAATAGACCTGTAACAGTAACTGACATTAGATTTTAAAAATATGTCAAAAAAGACACTTTCTTGCAGAAATCCATACCTTCAGCTGTAACACAGCCAAAATGATCAGCAAATCAAAAAAGAAAAGTGAAGAAAATGTCCAAAAAAGGACAGAGGGACCCCTGAGGGTTAATAAATCCCATGAACCGCTATTTAAATTACCACTATTATGTTTTTTTCGGTGCTAAATTTAACATTACTGGGGAGGAGAGCAACGCGACTAGAAGTGACAGCGAGAGAGGGCTAGTAGCTTCTCCTCTCCTCTGTCTCAGCGGAGACCGTCACAACTTCATTCACTCATTTAACAAAACAAAAAGAAAAGCAACAAAGGAAGCAGTAAATGGACTTACATATTTAAGACCTAACTAAATGTAATTTAAGACCTAACATGCGGCTAATGTAAAGCTAGCGGAGCTTGGAGAGTTGGTTATCTGGTTGCTAGGCACGCACACACGCACACAGGTCAGGAGCTGCCGTTGCCATGGCAATGTGAAAATCTGCCCAGAATTTGGCTTCTACATGGCTTAAAACAATTGCAAATTATGAGAAAACCGTTACTTCTTTTCAAAAACCGAAAACACCGTGACAGACACTGAAGCCAGAAGTTTCTTACAGTCTCTATTTTATTCAGATATTCCTTAAAATGAGTGAGTAAGCTCAGTGCGAAGACAGAGTGAGATTCTTTTGAAAAAAAAAGACGATTACATTAGGTGTCAATGAGAGTGAGACAGGTATTGCTGCCGGACTCGGCACCCCCGTTTAAATTTTGTGCAGACCCTGCCTGTCAAAGTTACATTTTATGAATCCCAACAACTATGTCTACATTTTCAGAAAAAATTATTTGTCTCCTTTTTACGGTTTGGCCGTTAGCTCGAGTTAAAAATAAAAATAAAGGTTATTTTTTACTGCTTCACGCACTCTAGCCAACTGACGCTGTCACTCTAACTTTGAAGAAAAAGTGATTTCCACTCCTCCTTTGAGTGCTCATAGTTTGAAAAGTTTACATGTTATGTAAAAACAGTTGCTGTGTTTTGGAGAGAGCAGAAGTTTTCCTCTGTTTTATAGTTTGAATCACATTTCTACTTGCAGGTATGAGAGAGCTAGGTGACTCAGAAAAAAGGTGAAATTTTGTAGAAAAAAGGTGAAATTTTGTGGGTTTTTAAAGAAAATTCCAATGCATTCCTAATGCATTATTTATTCCCAGTATTTTGGGAATAACTTTGGGAAAAATTGGAATTTTAACACCAAAAGTCATAGCACCTCTTTCGGGATCAAGACGCACATTTTGATGTATATATTACCAGGGTTTTCTCAAAGCTGCGGCCCGAGGCACTCCTCTCAGCTATTCTAGCTGTAGAGGAGTGCCTCGGAGCTGAGCACCCGTGGCACTAATAATATGTGCAGGGGAGCTGTACCTGGGAGTAGCAGGAACTCCCTTGTTGTGTGCCCTCTCACTCTCTCCCATCTTGTCCATCCAGGTTCCACAGTTGAGAGGATTTCCTCCATAGATGAAGCCGGTGGTCTGGTCCACTCCAGCCTCCACAGTGAATCCTGGGGGGGGGGGGGGGCGTCAGCATCAGATTATGTGACATTTAGTCTGATTATAAATTCATTTCTTACACATCTTTTCTACACATGATAACTTTCCTCCCTCTGCATGTTTATGAAGGTTGACGTTACAAACTGTAGTTATCACTGATCCACATGTTGCTGTACTGTGTGTGTCACCCTGTAACCTGCTGTGTGTGTGTGGAGGTGATTCCCGTTGTTAATGGGAACATGGCTGACCTTCCTCAGCCATGTTGGGGTCTAACTGAGGACCAGCTCCACTCTCTCTGAACCGGATCCCCTCCATGTGTCTCTGCATGGCCTCCTGGATCACATCATAAAGCAGCTGATCCTGAAGGAAAAACACTGTAATTATACATATGGTTAATACAATAATAATAATAATAATCAGTTTGAATCCTAAAGATCTGAACAAATGGTGATGGTTTATTTAAACTAATGATCAATTTTAACATGAAATATTTAAAACCTCTTTGTTAAATGACAATGAGAGACCAACACCTGAACAACAAGCTCCGCTGCTTCACCTGGGTATTTCCACATTAACACATATAACTGTGTTATACACAGAGGTGTTGGTTATTAAGCCTGCCCTTATTCATATGAATGGAGTGGACAAAATAATAGAAATACCTGCCGATAAAACTATTTTAACACAAACTGAACATGATAACTGTTGGAGGTTTTATTGCTTCAGTATTAGACTGGAGCAGTTGTAGTGTCAGGTGTACCTAATAAACTGAGTGTATGATGAATGATCTGGATGTTTCTTCACCACTGATCATAGACACACACACACACACCTGGTACAAACATGTCCTCTTTCTATAAAGCAGAGTAAATAGGAGTGACTGTGATGATGACCTGACAGATGATGTCACACATATATTACAGACTGCTCCTACTCCCTATGTTAGATAAGGTTTTAGCAGGGATCTGGATTGAGAACACACAGTCGTACCGATGCTGCAGGCGGAGGCTCTGACACACAGTCGGGGTTCGTCCTGGAGATGGGACACTGGAGGATGGAGACTCCATCAGGGACCAGAGAGCAGAACTCCTGGATGGACTGCAGCCACCACCACACAGCGTCCCTGCTGTTGTAGCGGGCTGCGCCTCCTTGACCCAGCAGGTTGGGGATCAGGCCGTGACGCAGCATTCCAGCAAATGCCAGGATGATGTTCCTGTGGTCATCATGACGATGGGTTAATTGACAGCGTTACGCAGGTGAGAAATAAAGGTAGCGGTGCTGACAGACTGACCGAGCCTCCAGGTGTCTGCCGGTCAGTAACATCAGTCCTCTGAGGGAGATGAAGGTGTCACGACCCCAACAACGAAACATCCCCGAACAGAAGTGAGGAAGACCTGAAGACAATCAGCTGTTACCTCTGGACGTCAGTGTCTATCAGTATTCAATACTCCAATATACAGTAAGCTTCACTTCACTGCTGTGTCATCACACAGGTTACAGTCAGTATGTTGTTTTAATTAGATTTTCTGATGATAAGAAAAATACAAACTATGACCAAACTTTTCTTTAAATGCTCAGTTTGCAGAAGTGGGAGGAGCCACAGGAAGGTGAAGTTCTGTCTCTGCACCTGATGTATCTGAAGTTCATCACGACACTCACAAGTTGCTGTTTAAAGTCAGTTTTGAATCCTTTTTTACATGATTATAGAAAAACAGCTGTGTTCACTTCATTCATCATTTCCACTTTCCTCTTGTGTTTTTGTTAAACTTTTATTTCCATTGTATTTGATTTTATATTATATTGATATGCATGTTTGAACAGTAGTATAACAACATATTTAGTGTACAGTGTATATATTTATTTCATTATGTATACAGAGTGGCCTGGGGGCAGGAAGGTCCTTCAGGATGAACACACACCTGGACACACCTGTCTAAAGAGAGACAGAGAGAGTGGAAACACAGACCTGCTGCCAGCGACACACAGCCCAGCTCCTCCTGTTCAGTGAAGTCATCAGGACAGGTGACCTTCCTCAGGTGAGGAGAGGGTGGGGGCAGAGCCCAGCTGTGATACACACCACACATCTGCACTGAGCCCAGAGCCAGCTGTTTGACCAGGGTGGAACCATTCTGCACAAAGCTGAGAGAGTTCAGGAACATAAAGACGGGAACACACAGACGTCACCAAGTGAAACAAGCAGAGGATTCATCCAGTCAGAGAACAAAGGAATAAAGGAAAAGGTTAAAGAGAGATCAGCCTGAAGAACCGTCAGTTCTTAGACAACAAAACAGATTCATACAAGTTAAGAAGACACAGTCCATAAAACAATAGACACATACATAAACCGCTGTCTGAGCTTGAATCTGAGAGGGTTCACATCAGGAGATAGAGACCTGTGTGGAGATATAACACATATATTATATACAGTTGTGCTCGTTTACATACCCTGGCACAATTTGTAAGATTTGTACCATTCTTCAAAGAAAACATGAGTGAAAAACACATTTCTTTTATTTTTAAATGGGATTAAAATTCAACTATGAGGCATCACAGATTATCACAATCAGTAAACAAAACATAACAATAAAGAAAATACTGAGATGGTCCCTGTTCAAAAGTTTGCACACCCTTAGTTCTTAATACTGTCTATTTGCCCCTTTAGCATCAATGACAGCTTGTAGCCTTTTGTGATAGTTGTGGATGAAGCCCTTTATTTTCTCAGGTGGTAAAGTTTCCCATTCTTCTTGGCAAAAAGCCTCCAGGTCCCGTAAAGTCTTGGGTTGTCTTGCATGAACTGCACATTTGAGATCTCAAAGTGGCTCAATGATGCTGAGGTCAGTGACTGTGATTGCCAATCCAGATCCCTGATTAATGCAAATTGTCCTCCAATACTTTATGATAACATGCCCCCCCCCCCCCCCCCCCCCCCCAAAAAAACATCAGAGATCCACCCCCATGCTTCACATTAGGGATGGTGTACTTTTCATCAGAGGCCTTGTTGACTTCTCTCCAAACATAGCGTTTATGGTTGTGACCATAAAGTTCAATGTTGGTCTCATCACTCCGAATGGCTTTGTTGCAGAAGTTTTGAGGCTTGTCTAGGTGTTGTTCGGCGTATTGTTAGGGGGCTGTTTTGTGACGTTGGCATAGTAATGCCCATTTTTCTTCAAGTACCTCCTTATTGTGCATCTTGTATCTGCAGAGAAGCCTGTATGTCACTGAAGTTGCTTGTGGGTTTTTCTTTGCATCCCGAACAATTTTCCTGGCAGTTGTGGCTGAAATCTTTGTTGGTCTACATGACCGTGGCTTGGTATCAACAGAAGCCCTCATTTTTCCACTTCTTTATCAGTTTGAACACTGCTGATTGACATTCTCACACCTTTGGATATCTTCTATATCCTTTTCCTAATTTATAAAGTTCAACTACCTGTTCTGGCAGCTCCTTTCACAGTTGCTTTCCCCAGCAAAGTCAGTGGGTGAAATGTGCAGGCGTCTCTCAAAAGCTAAGAAACTCATTGACTGTCTCTACACAGACACTAATTACAAGCAAACAGGTCACAGGTGTGGAAACTTTTACCCCTAATAGCCATTTAAACCTGTGTGTGTCAACTTGTGTGTATTTTATCAGGCCAAATATTCAAGGGTATGTAAACTTTTGATCAGGGCCATGTGGGTGGTTTCAGTCATCATTATGATTTAGAAAGGGCAAACATAATTATGTGGTAATTAATGGCTTCACCTGACCACTATCCCAAATAAAAGACAATTTTTCTGCATGATGAGTCATGTTTTCCAAAAAATGGCCAATATTTCACAATTTGTGCCAGGTTATGTGAACTTACATGCACAACTGTATATAACCCACAGGGCTGTCGCTCCTCAGCTGCTGTTTCCCGTTACTTTGCTTCATGTAGCTGCAGCAGAGCAAAGAGTAGAGGAGCTGGTGGAGGAGGAGAATAAATAGGAGGGTGTGGAGATTAATAAATGTTCTCCTTAATCTATGTTTCTCCTGTAGTGTGTAATGAGCACCTGATGGTGTCAGATGTGGAGAACACCATCAGTTTGGTGATTAAACAGCACTGTCCTCTCCGTCGTGTTTTAATATTGCAAGGAGGTAAAAGGAGCCACTGGTTCCATACAGGTGTAAATAGACTCTGTTAATAACTAGTCTCTCAGCCAATCACATCACTGCTCTAATCGCTCTGTGCCAATCACAGTGACACATGACACCAATAGCTCAGCAGGAAGTCTTGTTGTCTGACACAGTGAGAACACACAGCTCCTCCGGTCTAACTCTCTGTCTAACTCCAGAGATGAAGAGACAGAAACTTGAGCCACAGAGACTCAAAGGACCAGATCTCCCTCAGTGTCGAACCTCCTCAGGTTAAAGCTAAGACTTGGCTCTTTAATGTGCTATCATCATCTGTCTGAAGAACGAAACAAATACTTCTTCAGGTATTATTATACCTGAAGAAGCAGATCAATAATCAATCTCAACCATTAGAGAGAGGAAAGAGAAGAGGAGCAAACACCTGGACATGAGTTTGAACGTAGCCTCCAGAGCCGTGGTGTAGACACCCTGGACGATTGCGTCAAAGTAGCAGGGAACGAGGTGGCGGGGGAGGTGTCTCAGGTAGACGAACATGGCCTGCAACCAGCAGCCTACCTGGAGGTCAAAGGTCAACATCAGTCAGCACTGCACAGATTCTCTCAGTGTGTGCTGTCCACACTGAAGTGACAGTTCATCAGGTGACGTGAAGACCGTCTCCCGTCTGGACCTGTGAGTGTAGATGACTTCACCACAGCAGGTGAAGTCTTACCTGCTGAGACTCTCTGCCTCATTAGATACAGATGTCATGTGACCACATCACCCAGGTCAGGTACCCTGAGCTCACCTCTTCTACTGCTCCACCCTTGGACAACAATCTGTTGGAGACGTAGTCCATCATCCAGTCCCCCTGTCTCAGGTTGTCACAGAAAGGATGTCCCAGATCGTTGTGGGGTCGGATCTCAGCCATCACTGACATCAGCCCTGAGGAGCATAAATACTCATTAACACTGGTACAAACTCTGGAATACATGAGGAGGAGGAGGAGGAGGAGGAGGAGGAGGAGGAGAAGGAAGAAAAAGAAGATGAAGAAGAAGAAGAAGAAGGAGAAGATTTTTTTTTATTTTTAACTCAACTTTATTTTACACATGTACAGTTTTCAGTTAAAAGCACTATTTAAAAAAACAACACATTTAAAACACTTTGTTTTTGTTTTTTTTCCACAATTTTTCAATAATTTAACTTTTTAAAAACCGAGTGAAGTGTAAAATGTAGTTGTCTTCAACAGTGCATAAAACATCATCATGGCACCAAGTATTTTTAAAGGTTTGTATGTCACCGGACATTTTGTAAAACTCAAACTCCAGCCTCAGTCTGCAGCGGAGGTTGCAGCGCCACACTGAGGCTGCGTCCTGACCCGGCCGCTCATCAACCTTGTTCCCTCTGGACACGTAGATGGCCAGCTTTGCTGTGCCAGAAACAAAGTTGAGGAGCTGCCACTTCTTTTTGTTCTTTTTTCTTTCTTTAGCACCATAAATGAAACTCCTCTCAGAAAACTGTACGTTAAAAGAGCTAAAAACTTGAGTTAAAAGAGTGTGGAAATTTAAAAGTCTCTCGCACTCGATAAAAAGATGAAAAATTGTTTCAGGGTGACCACAAAACGGGCAGGCGTTTGACACAGCTGGATTCATAACAGAGACCACAGCGTTAAAGGCAATAGCACCATGTAAAACCCTCCATTGCAGGTCTGCAGTCTGCTTTTTGATTGGGGGGGTATAAAGGATCTAGCTGCTCTATCGCCAATCCTCCTGCTCCATGCACATTCTGTCCTTCCTGCAGATCACTTTCACACAGTTGTTATACAAAGTCTTTTTTTTGTTGCTGTGGAGGGACACTGTTGTTGCCCTCTCCAGCAGCGGGCCAGATGCTTCTCCCAGCTGGGGGGTCAGCTGGAGGTCTGGAAACGGGTCCCCTTGTGTGGGCTCTGTCCCTCTGTTGTATTTCTTGAGGAGGATTTTCTCCTTTTCATTTAGTCTCTCTCTCCACAGTTGAAGGGCCCTCTGTATGAGCCTGGTGGACCGGACCCCCAGGTGTGTGGCTAAGGCCTCTGCCTCCTTTAGGTCTGGTCCGGCTGCGTTCACCACGTGCTTTAGCTGCAGCGTCCTGGAGCAGAGCAGTACCGTGGTCAGGCCTGGCATGGCCTTCAGGGAGATGTCTAGTCTGGCACCATGAATCACCGGTTGTTTTAAAAGCCAGAACAGAGAGTTAGAGCTCCCACCTGAACAGCTTTTAAAAAGGCCCCATGCTTTAAAAACACTTTCATAAAATGGAGGAACCCCATTAAACTTTATAAATTTAAAATCAGTTAAAAACAGAGCAGCATCCAGTCCCAAGTTACTTACATGTCTGAACATGCAGCTGGCCACGTCTCTCCACATAAGATCTGCCAGACCTGTTAAAAACCTTTGAATAAATTGGACTCTAAAGGTGGCAGTTCTACTGGTCAAGTGGATGAGGCCCTGTCCCCCCTCCTCTCTTGTCAAAGATAAAACCCCCCTTTGGTACCCAGTGTTTGTTATCCCAGAAGAAGTTAACTAATAAGTTCTGGATCTTGTCCAGTAGTCCTGGTGGCGGCTCCAGACACATTAATTTGTGCCATAGTGTTGTTGTTTGCTACCAGGACATGACCTCTGAAAGATATTTGGGGGTGTAACCGTTTCCATTTTTTTATTTTGTTTTCAATTTTTGATGATACGTCCTCCCAGTTATTTTGGACTATGTTTTTCTCTCCTAGGAAGACCCCTAAATATTTTATGCCTGATGTCTTCCATAAGAGGTTCTGGGGTAGTACTGGGAGACCTCCACCCCACTTACCGACAGCGAGGACTTCACTTTTGTGCCAATTTACCCTCGCAGCTGATAAAATATAAAAAGAATCAATCAGGTTATTTAAAATGTTGACGTCCTTTTGATCTTTTATCATTACAATGACATCGTCGGCATAAGCGGATAAAACAATTGTCCTATTAAAACCGGGTAAAAACAAACCATCAATACTTGAGCATATTTTGCAGAGGAGGGGTTCGAGGGCGAGTGCATAGAGCATGCCGGACATAGCACAGCCCTGCCGGACGCCTCTACACACCCTGAAGGGAGCACACAGACTGCCGTTCAGCTTCAGTATAGACTCAATGCCACCGTACAATGCCTGGATCTTGGCAATAAAACTCGTGCGGAACCCAAAACTCTCCATAGTTTTCCAGAGGAAGCAGTGTTCAACATGGTCAAATGCCTTTTCCTGGTCTAGTGAAATCAGTCCAGTGTTAAGCCCCAAAAGGTTGGAGATGTCCAAAACATCTCGAATTAAGTGGACATTGTCCGCCATAGACCTGCCGGGTACACAGTAGGTCTGGTCGCAGTGGATGACCTCCTCCAGCGCCTCCCCCAGCCTGGTAGCCAGCACTTTTGATAAAATCTTGTAATCGGTGCAGAGAAGAGACACGGGGCGCCAGTTCTTAATGTCCTGGGGATCACCTTTTTTGGGTAAGAGGGTCACAACCGCTCTACGACAGGACACTGGCAATGAGCCTTTGGCCAAGCTCTCATTAAAAACCTCTATCATGTCGGACGATAAAGCGTCCCAGAAGGCCTTGTAGAATTCGACAGTGAGGCCGTCCAGGCCTGGAGCCCGCCATCCCTGCATCTTTAGCAGGGCGGCGTGCAGCTCCGGCTCTTGGAGCGGCCTGTCGAGGAGGTTGTTTGTGGCCTCTGAGACCTGAGGCAGGCCACCACAGAAGTCTTCTAGTAGTTCTCTCCTCTCCTTATATTCGCTTGAATAGAGTTTGGAGTAGAACTCGGTAGCATATTTCCTGAGCTGGCCAGGCTCTGTTATCTCCTGCCCCGTGTCACTTAAAAACGAATGTATATATTTCCTCTGTGCATTCTGCTTTTCCAGGTTGAAGAAGAAGCTGGAGGGGGCATCCATCTCCGATATATTCTGGATCCGCGCCCGGACTAATGCGCCTTTACCTTGGTACCCAGCAGGTCTCTTAAGGCCATTTTTTTGGACTTGAGGATTTCAACATATCCTCGATTTTCTGTGGACACACTTAATGTTTCCAAGTCCACAATCTCACTCTCCAGCTCTCTAATAGATCTACAGGCATCACGTGTGACATTCAGTGTATACTGTTGGCATAGAAGTTTGATTGATGTCTTGCCATGGTCCCACCACTGCCTAAGACATTTAAAATCGTTTTTCCTATGTCTAAAACTATTCCAGAAGTAAATAAAAACCTCTCTAAAACCCTTATCAAACATTAAAACCGAGTTAAAATGCCAATAAGCACTTTTAGGTAAAATATTTTTTATAAAAACATTACATAAAACTAAAGAATGATCTGTAAAACCAGCTGTCGTAATGCTACAGCTTTTGCATACATTAAAATGATTCTTAAAAACATAAAACCGGTCTAGTCTAGCCATAGAAATTCGCCCCTCACCTATGTGGTGTCACACCGTGGTGAGGTTGTCTTGTCTTGGGTTTGTTTTGTCCTGTCATTTCCTGTTTTATTTTGAAAAGTAATTCTCCTCTCGTTTCAGGTCACTTGCCCTTCCTCATGTGTCTCAGTCTGATTGCCCTAAGTGTTTCCACCTGTCCCCTATTTCCCTCCATGTGTTTAAATAGTCTGTGTTCCCCTTGTCTTGTGCCAGAGTGTCTTCGTCCTTGACCTGCACCAGAGCCTTGATCCATGTCCACAGCCATCGCCATAGTAGCCGTATGTTCCTCGTGACGAGTGATTTTTTGTTTGTAAATTTTTCCTTAGCTAAATTTCATAGCCCCTTTGTTTTCCTCGTTCAAGAGTGATTTTTTGTTTGTAAATTTTCTACCATAGCTTAGATTCATGGCCCTTTGTTTTTCCTCGTTCAAGAGTGATTTTTTGTTTGTAAATTTTCTACCTTAGCTTAGATTCAT